AGAGAGAGAGAGAGAGAGAGAGAGAGAGAGAGAGAGAGAGAGAGAGAGAGAGAGAGTTCTTCTTCTTCCTCTTCTAAGTCCACCATCTCTTCTTCCCCTCTCACCACCTGACTTCTCAGTATCAGCGGACTACGACAGAGAGGGAGAGAGTTGTGACTTGAGACTTGACGACATTGGATCCAGACTCGACATTGGGATTCRGACATTTTGACGAGGGACTATTTGGGCCTATGCCGAAGACTTGGTGTTGACGACATTCCCATCTTCCCCTCTTCGTCATCTAACCCCCCTCTTCTTCGTCTGTGTATGGTTGGGGCTGACGCATTCTTCCTGTGTGAGCGTCAGACCCCTTCACACCATGGAATGATGATGATGATGGATGTTCGGGGCTGCATTGCAATATTGATTGTTCGGATCATTGGTATCTAAATTTTCCGCTGCTCTATCTTGTACTTTGTATTGAGAGGTCGGTTCTTGTTCTGGTCTGCACCGTTACAGTATGCAACAGTTAGGTATCGGAGCGGACCTTTCATTCAGAGGACCCTCTCAATCAAGTAGCCAGCTTGCTTGATTTCTTGATTACTCATTAGTAAATCAAGTAGAACTTCGTCAAATCTCTCAATTTTTTTTTTTTCTTCTCGCAACAAATATCTGAAAATTTATGATAATCGCATTTCGTTTTACCTGAAAATTTCTGATATTGGTATTTCGTTTTCACGCAACAAATATCTGAAAATTTCTAATAATCGCATTTCGTTTTATCTGAAAATTCCTGATAGTAGCATTTCGTTTCTCTGATATTTTGCATACATAGTCGAAAATATCTGATGTTAACATTTCGTTTTCTAGGCATATAAGAATAACGATAGAAGTGGTCATATTATCGGAAACCGGATTTATTATTTTTTTGAAAATCGAATCTCCATTCTATCTCGCAATTTTTTTTGAAAACCGAAATTTTGCGAGGCCTACCAACATTTCGTTAGGCATATTCGAAGGTTGCCATATTCTCAGAAACTGGATTTAGTTCTTTTCTGAAAATCCCATCTCTACTCTATTTCGCAAAAAAAAAATTCAAGATCGCATTTTTATGAAAGTCAAAACTTTGCGGAACCTAGCCTAGATCTCGCTCATAGTACTCTTCTGACATGTCTCACTCATAACGGATCGACAGATAAAAAAAAAAAAAAAAGGAGGTAGTCCTCTTTTATATTTTTTATTTTATCTGTTGATTAGGGTCGGGAGGAAAGTATTGTTGGGTGGGTTTTCCCTCCCACCCACCCCTTTGCATGCATTTCCGGGTTGGTACAGTGTCACGTCAGCAGTGCCACGTCAGCAGTGCCACGTTAGCCACAGTGCCAGGTCAGCAGTGTCATGTCAGCAACAGTGCCACATCAGCAGTGCCACGTCAGCCACAGTGCCACGTCAGCAGTGCCCTGCCACCATGACGGGCTCAGTTCTGGGCATGCCAGGCCAACTGACAAATGAGTCCATTGCCGAGTACCGACAACGTTTTGCAACTCAGCTCGCACTAATCGCAACTGAGGAGCAGCGCCAGCTGGTAGCCGAGGTTGTCCGCCTACAGGTTGAAGCGGCGGCAACAGCTAAGAAGCAGCAGCTTCAGGCCGAAGCATACGCAGATACCCAGGCACACCGCAAGGAAGCCCAGGATCTGCTACAGCGGCATGAAGCCACCAGCATCGAAAAGCTCAAGTTTTGGCACTTTGAACCATCCGAGGAGCACGACGGCGCGACACTGGAGGAGCAGCACAAGGAATTCATGGCCAAACTCTTGACCATGCTGGTTTACACTTGTAACCACCTGCAGTCCGAGCTGGCGAACCTCCAGCAGGCCGTACGAAACCACAATGCTCAACAGGAGGATGCAGCACGGACACTTGATTCCCGTGTACAGGACTTGGAGCAAATTGCACCAAGACCGGAGGCTGGCGAGTCCAACAATGCACCCTCTGCCCACCAATTGGAAGAACGAGTTGACCACGTAGTCACAATGCTCGGCGACATCAGTACCTTCGCTGCACCAGCCACCATCAGCAGCCAGCTGGACACCTTGAAGACCGAGGCTCAGCAACTGCAGCTGCCAAACAAGGATGGCAACATCGTGCAACACTACAAGATGCCGACATTCCAAATTGAGAAGTTCGATGATTATACGCATCAAGACCCAGTCCTCTCGTGGGAGGGCTTTACAACGCAACTTCGGATTTTGTTCGTCGCCAAACACGCGTACATCGGCGCCCTGTTCTTCAACTCAAAGGGCGGATGCCATATCTGGTTGAGCCACCTGGCAACCGTCCACGACGTCGACGTCGCTGACCTGAAAGATAAGATCTCTTGGGAAGAGTTAACACGACTATGGAAGAAGCGGTTCATTGTGGACGACGCCCCGACGCTCGCCATCAACCGCCTCTTCGCTATGACGCAAGGCAACACAACAACACACGACTGGCTCACGGAATGACAAAAGATCGCGGCGACGCCGGATCTCGAATTGCCATTTTCGCATTTGCGCCGAGAGTTTTACAACCGGTCATGTGCCGCCTTGAGCCTTGCACTTGGTGATCGCGAACAATACACAACCTTCGCCGAAATCATCGACAAGGCAAGGGAGATCATCAAGACCAACAGGACAGCTGCACACGAGAAGTCAGCATGGCAGCCAACCTATGTGGAGAAGGTGAGAGTTGGTCCGCGACCGCAGCATGTCGCTGCAGTCCAATCGGACAACATTGTGGAAGACTCGACAGCCACCCAAGCGTCACGTGAGGGAGATCAGCTGTTGCTGTCCAGCCGCGAAGCAACAACAAGTCTCGAGGAAACGGGAAGGCGAAAACCGTATCGCCGGCTGGAAACGGACAGCCAGCACCATGGGTCAAGTTTCACTTGACCGAGGCGGGATACAAGTGGCGCGGCTGCTACGGCTGCTGCTATTGGTTCAACAACACCAAGCACAAGACCTCCCAATACCCGGATCAAGGCAAGGAGGATGTTCGGCCTCGTATTAACTCAGGAAACTAAGTCGCACGGGAGGTGAGGCGACTCCACCTCTCACTCCGCTAGATTCGGCCGCCTTGCTAGCGGCCTCCTACACATCTGGGGAGGATGCGAATGTCGCAAACCCTCAGTACACTTACGAGGACTATGTTGTCCACTTGGTCCCACCGTTGGACCAACTGCTCCACATGCAACAATCTACCGCATGCACGGTTTTATCACCATCGACAACCGATTCGGCAGCTTCGCCGCCATCTATCGCCGGGGATTCAACGTCATGGTCAGGACTTGAAGAGCTCGACCCATTGACATTTGCGGACTTCCAATGGATGCCCCTTCCCCGGTCCGGTCGATTGCCGAAACCGCATTGCAACATGCTCATGGCACAACTGCAGGATTAATTCCACACTGCAGTACCAACTCCATTGATGGACGCCAGAGTAGAGGTTGTCGACCTTCACGCCTACATTGCAAAGATCGACCGCGAGTTCAAGACATAACAATACAACGACATTGACGCACCATTGTTATATGTACGCATTCAGATCGGAGAGGGGACCTGCAACTCTTTGATCGATTGTGGAACATCTCGCAACTACATGAGCCAGGACTTTATGGTATGCGCTGGCCTTGGCCCACACGTCCGGAGGAAGTCCCAGCCTACGCAAGTCACGTTGGCAGACGGTCACACGCACAAGTCAATAGACCGGTGCATAGATGACGTCCCCGTGTACTTTGCCCCGCATGCAAGCGAGGCGGTGTCCTTTGATATTTTGGACACCAAATTCGACATGATCTTGTAATGGGCATGTCGTGGCTGCGAAGCAAGGATCACCCGGTGAACTTCTACCGCCGCACCGTTCACGTTTGTGATCGGAACGGAGTACTAGTCCCATGCATTGTGGCTCCTCCTCACCCTTCGATCAGCTGCCACGTGGTGTCCGTCGCAAGCTTGCGAGCTTCCATCATCAGAGATGACATCGAGGAGATGGGGGTGTATTTTCTCCACGCCCTCCCGCCCCATCGACGGACTCATCTTCGGACCCAGGCATCATCGAGCTTCTCGACCCCTACGGCGACGTGTTCGAAGGCCCGCACGGAGTAGTACCGGATTGGCCTATCCGCCACGAGATTATCCTCGACGACGGGGCTGTACCTCTGCGTGGTTGCATCTACCGAATGAAAGAGAAAGAGTTAAGTGTACGACGGACACAACTCGGCGACCTTCTGGAGAAAGGCTGGATTCGGTCTAGCTCATCGCCATACTGTGCTCCCGTTCTCTTCGTCCGGAAGAAGAACAAGGATTTGCGGTTGTGCATCGATTATTGCAAGCTCAACGCGCAAACGATCAGAAACGCCGATCCTCTTCCACGCATCGACGACCTTCTCGAACGGCTGGGCGGCGCCAAGTTTTTCTCCAAGCTCGACCTCAAGTCGGGATATCACCAACTCAAGATTCGGCAAGAGGACCGCTACAAGACCGCGTTTAAGACGCGATATGGGCATTTCGAATGGTTGGTTTTGCCATTTGGCCTTACGAATGCCCCGACCACTTTCCAAGCGGCTATGACAACGGAGATATGACACATGCTGGATCGATTCGTACTTATCTACCTCGACGACATTCTGGTGTACAACTGGAGTTTGGACGAGCATGTGGAACACCTGCGCACTGTTTTGGAGTGGCTACGACAAGCCAAGTACAAAGCCAACAGTGACGAATGTGAATTCGCGCGGCAGGAGCTGGAGTACTTGTGACATTATGTGACGCCGCAAGGCATCCGTTCGCTTGCGGACGAGATCGAGGCCCTCCGCGTATGGCTCGAGCCCACCAACACCACGGACGTTCGTTAATTCATGGGGTTGGCGGGTTACTATCAGCGATTCATTACCGGGTACTCAAGGATTGTTGCACCTATGACGAGATTACAATCGCCAAAGGTGTCATTCGTATTCGATGACGACGCACGCCGGTCATTCTAAGCACTTAAGACGGTCATGCTCATGGCACCCGTCCTTAGCATCTATGACCCCACCCTGTCTACGAGAGTGACAACTGACGCTTCCGGCTATGGCATTGGGGCAGTCTTGGAACAACATGACGGCGACGACTGGCACCCTGTGGAGTATTTCAGCGACAAAGTGTCTTCTATCAATTCGCTTGATGATGCAAGGAAGAAGGAGCTGCTCGCGTTCGTAATGACGCTCAAGCGATGGCGGCACTTCCTCTTTGGGTGTCGTGGGTTCACATGGATCACGGACAACAGCCCATTGACCTACTACAAGACGCAGGATACGGTGAGCAGCACGATCGGACGATGGATGTACTTCATCGACCAATTTGACTTCACACCGAAACATCTCCCCGGCCTCTCCAATTGTGCAGCAGATGCACTCTCGCGAAGACCTGATCTTTGCGCGATGACACATCATGCCTTCGTATTTGACGAGGAACTCAAGCAACACTTCGTCCGGGGCTATGAGTCTGATCCGAACTTCGCTACGTTGTATGCGCAGCTATCTTCGGATCACCCGTTGGCCATCCACTATCGCATTGCCGACGGGTGCTTGCTCCTCCACTCGAGAGGCAAGGACTTATTGTGTGTCCCACGAGACCGTCGTCTTTGGACTCGCCTTCTCGGGGAGTACCATGACTCGCGACTCGCCGGCCATTTCGGAGTCAACCGCACTATTGCACGGCTTCGACAACGATTCCGATGGCCTGACCTCATTACCGATGTCACTCGGTATTGCGACTCTTGCGAAGTTTGCCGACAAAGCAAGCCCCGCAATCGCAACCCCTACGGCGAGTTGCGCCCGATGCCTATCCCACGGGAACCCGGCCTCTCCATTGCCATGGATGTCAACGAACCATTTCCCCGCGATCGCCTCGAGCACGACAGCATCCACACGGTTGTGCACCGTTTGAGTAAGTACGCGCGTTTTCTCCCTTGCAAGTACTACTCCACGGCTCCCGAGCTGGCACGCCTCTTGCACACCGGCTGGATTTGCGGCCACGGTGTACCAGAAGACATAGTCAGCGACCGCGACACTCGCTTCATGTCGACATTTTGGACTGCTCTCATGCAGGAGTCCGGCACGAAAATGAAACCAAGTTCGGCTCGGCATCCACAGACGGACGGGCAAAGGGAGAGGACTCATCAAACCGCTCAAATGATGCTTCATACGCTCATCTGTCCGGACCAGAAAGATTGGGTTGACCGCCTCCCCGACATCGAGTTCGCCTACAACACTTCGATGCACCTGGCGATCGGCGTGACTCCATTCGAGTTGCACCACGATGGACGAAAAGGCCGTATCTTCGCCGACCTTCTCCTCCCACGACCAGCCGACATCGACGTCGCTTGCTCTCCCGCTTCCGTCCGGAAGTACAGGGAATTGCTGACTCAAGCCCGCGCAAATATGCAAAAGGCTCAAGTCAGCATGCAGCAGCAAGCCAACAGGCGTCGCGTACCATGTCCCATCCGCGCCGGTGATCTGGTTTGGGTCTCCGCGGAAGAGTTTGCACTGGAACAGGATGTTTCACGCAAACTGCTTCCCAAGTGGTTTGGACCATGGCCTGTAACATCAGCCACGGGCGATGAGCCCGTTGGCCCTTCATCACCCCCTGCATCTGATGGTCCATCCAGTCTTTCACGCCTCGAAGCTGGCAACATATACACCAGCTAAGAGCGACGACTTCTCGGGCCGACGATCGCAGGACCCTCCATCTATGGATGGTCATCAAGAAGTTGACCGCGTCATCACGGATCGCAAGTACGGCAGCAAGCCGCGATAGTACAAAGTTACATTCAAAGCATGCGATCCCGACGACACTCGGTGGATTTCAAGAACAGATTTGAAAGCATCCGCACCGCTGATCTACGCTCACTACGAGCGACAAAGATTAGCTCAAGGAACTTCACGACCTGCCCCTCCCACCCGGACTGTGGTCCCTCCCTCAGACAGACAGCTTTGCCCCCGCAGGTAAGCTCGGTCTTTCAAGGAGGGGGGGGTGTGGCATACTGTGTAGCCACACCGGCCCACACGGGCCTGCAGGGCCCGTCCCGCATTCTCAGCCTAAAAGCCTAGAAATAATGGCTTACAAGCCCCGTGTCGTTTCAGCCTGAAAGATTGAAAATGAGGGCCTGCAGGCCCTATGTCGTTTCAGCCTAAAACAGGGTTTTTCAGACCTCAGGCTTTTCAGCCTGAAACGGAGAGCCACTTTCGGGCCCTCATAAGATCGACCTACCCTAACACTCAGGCACAAAACCAAGGTTTCGGGAACAGGCTATTTCTGGCCTGTTCCCACGACAGCCTGAAGCAGGAGCTGCAGGGTCAGCCCCTGACTCCCTTCGGCATTGGCAAGAGCAGCCTCCTGGACTGCCTCGCCCTGCAGTCAGGAGGCAGGCCGAGAAGTACATAGGGAGTTCCCATGCACTTCACAGGTGGGTAGTTGGACAGAAGGCAGGAGTAGTCTTCAGGATTCGGCTGCAGCACTCAGGAGGAGCGCTGTAGGAGTAGC